TGGGACTACAGGCATGCGCCACCATGCCCGGCTAATTTTTTTTTTCTATATATATATATTAGTTGGCCAATTAATTTCTTTCTATTTATAGTAGAGACGAGGTCTCGCTCTTGCTCAGGCTGGTTTCGAACTCCTGACCTTGAGCAATCCGCCCGCCTCGGCCTCCCAGAGAGCTGATTTTTTTAATTTTTAAAATATACTGTGGATACCATAAATCTACAATACCCAATCCCCCGGCCGCAGACCCCACTATCCACTTAAGCTCTGCCTCCTCCTGCACCCCGGTCTATAGAAAAATTGCCTTCCCTGAAACTTGGTGGTGGTGGGGGGTGCACAGCAGGAGGTAAGTGGCCAGCCAGCCAGGGAAGCTTCATCTGTATTTATAGCCACTCCCCTCCGCATAACTCGCATTACCACCTGAGCTCCACCTCCCCCCACCCACCGGAAAAATTGTCTTCGTGAAGCCAGTCTCTGGTGCCAAAAAGGTTGGGGACCACTGTCATGAATGATTAGGTCTGGCCCATGAACTTCTTATTTGGGATTCATGGCCTAAAACCAATGCAGACAGAACTACTTCCTTGTCCATTCCCTCTGGGATCACAATTAAATCTTAGTCCTCTACATTTTAACCCTCCAACAGCGAAGCAAGGCACGTCTGAGAGGAGGCAGCGTGCAGGCTGCCATCAACTGGATCTGACACAGGAAAGTGACTCCCAATGCTGGGAGCCACTTGAGGTCCACGTGGGTCCTTGGCTTCATACAAGAAAGAATTCAGGAGCCAGCAAACAGTCCTTTTGCCCCTCTATTATAACTAAGGCTTAATTATAGGCCAAACAAGGGGGAGAGGAATATTCATGTAAGTTGTTCTGCCTCCTTGTTTTGATCAGGGTAGTTTGAAACTTTGCTTTGAGACTTCCTAACTATCTATATCTGCACAATTCAGCAAGCCTGCAGCAATGCCCAAAGCAAAGGCATGCTCAAAGTAGTGCTTGCAGCAGTGCCTGCAGTTCCCTGTCTCAGATTGTGGTACCCAACCTTGGCCATGCATTGGAATCACCTGAAGAGCTTTTAAAAGTGCTGATGTCTGGATCCCAATCCAGAGATTCTGATTCACATGGCCTGGGGTACAGCCTGAGCATGGGGATTTTTTTAAAGCTTCTCAGGAGATTCTAATGTGCAGCCAAGGTTGTGGTCACCGAAGTGAGGAAGGGGGATTGAGAGAGTTTGGCCAACACCTACTGCAGTGGTATTAGTACCATGTGAGGGGCACGTGCTTCAGCTGGCAGTGAGCAAGTGTGGAAGTCTATGGGAACAGTCCTGAGTCCTTAGAGACGTGCCCATGGGTGGATAAACGGAAAAAGAAACTGCGGTGTGTATGCATACAATGTGCTATCATTCAGCCACAGAAAAGAAGGAAATCCTGGCATATGTGACAATGTGGGTGAACCTGGAGGGCATTATGCAAAGCGAAATGAGACAGACACGGAAAGACAAATACCACATGATCCCGTTTGTACATGAAATCTAAAAAAGCCAAACTCATAGCAGCACAGAGTCGTGTGCAGGTTGTCAGAGGCTGCACTGTGGGAGGAATGGGGAGATGTTGCCCAAAGGGCACAAACTTTCAGTTATAAGGTGAATAAGTTCTGAGGATCTATCGTTCAGCATGGGGAATGTAGTTATTAATACTGTATTGTGTGCTTGAAAATGGCTAGGAGAGTAGATATTCAGTGTTCTCATCACACACAAAAAGGGTAATTATATGAGGCGATGGATGTGTTAATTAACTTGACTGTGGTAATTATTTCGCAATGTATATACATCAAATCATCACGTGGTATACCTTAAATATATACAAATTTGTTTTTTGAGACAGCGTCTCACTCTGTTGCCCAGGCTAGAGTGCCGTGGCATCAGCCTAGCTCACAGCAACCTCAAACTCCTGGGCTCAAGTGATCCTCCTGCTTCAGCCTCCTGAGTAGTTGGGGCTACGGGCATGCGCCACCATGCCCGGCTAATTTTTCTATATATTTTTAGTTGGCCGGTTAATTTTTTTCTATTTTTAGTAGAGACAGGGGTCTTGCTCTTGCTCAGGCTGGTGTCGAACTCCTGACCTTGAGTGATCCTCCTGCCTCGGCCTCCCAGAGTGCTAGGATTACAGGCATGAGCCACTGCGCCCAGCCAATATATACAATTTTTACTTGTCAATTATACCTCAATAAATCCTTTCCTACTTAAGCCCTAAGTAGGAAAGGATTGCTACAGTATTTTAAGCCATGTTTAAATTTTAAAATTTCAGACAGTGCTTAAAATTTGCATAGCTTCTGTATGTTTTGTTTCTATAGTATATAATAAGAGGTGCTTTGCCCGACTTGGTCATTCACTTAGCTCTCTAGAGGACAGCTGGTTGCACACCACTCTAGGTGGTGTGAAATGAGCCCAGTACTTCTGCCACTTCAGCTCCACGTGCTGTTCTTGTCTGTCCGGCTTTCCCTTCTTCTGGAAACAAAACTGCTCTCTGCTGTGGAAAACCCACTTTTGAGACTTGGATGAGGCTGACAATGGTTTCCCTCACTGCCTTCGCTGCACCCTGCAACACACAGCAAGTGTAAGAGGTGGGGTAGGAGCAAGGCTAGCCACGCCCTCCATCCTCCTGCAGGACCGTCTTCCCTCAGCTTTGATACGTGGGTGCTGGGAGCACAGATGGAGGGAGGAGAACTGGGTTCCATTCTTTGTGGCCATTCATCCCAGCCTCAGGGAAGAGGGGCAGGAGAATGAGGCCAAAGTACACAGGAAAAAACAGAGATGAGAGATGCAGAGGACTTATAACATCATCTTTTGAGCCTTATATTCAGCTATCCAGCTGTCTGAATGTGTAAGTTATGTGAGTGAGTCTATTTTCCTTTCTGCTTAAGCTATTTTGAGCTGGGTTTCTGCTGTTGACTACTACAGTGAAATTAATTCTCATCCTCTACTCCTAAGCTAAGTCATCAATTTACATTAAAATATGATACACTCACCTGCTAAAATAGGATTTAGTTTAGAAGACAGGAAAAGAGCTTTGTTTTCCATACAAGATTAACATTTTATCAGAAAAAAAATAGTCCAAGTAAAAAAATAAGCTGCACCCCTATCAGACCAGACAGCAAATCCAGAGAGATACAAGCTCCAGTCAGGCGCAGCTTTACTCAATATACAGGACCTGGGAGAGGAGCCCGGGGAGTGTTAATAGAAGACATACACAGTGTGCCTTGGTTACAGCTCACATCTTCATCTTTCACTTTTAATTCTCCCCAAACTGACCTATAAATTCAATGTAATTCTCATTGACAATCCCAGCAGTATTTTTGTGGAAATTGATGAGCTCATTTTACACTTTATGGAAATACTAAGGGTCAAGAAAAACCAAGGCAACAGCGAGATAAAGAAAGCAGAGAGCAGACATCAAGATTTATTATAATGCTATAGTAATTAAGAGAGTATGGTATTGATGCAGGGATAGACAAATAGATCAATAAAACTGAATAGATTGTTTCTTCTTTTCTTTTTTAACTTTTTGAACTAATTTTAGACTTAAAGAAAAGTTGCAAAAATGACCAAAGAATTCCCTTATATCTGTCAAGTCACTTTCCCAAATGTTACCATCTTATGATTGATTTTAAAAGAAACTTTAAATTTGACATGTGAAATTGTTTCTAAGTCTTAATTTGTGGGGTTTTTCCCTTATTACCTGTAACCTTGAAAACATTTCTTTGTGTTTACTAATCAGTTGTATTTTCCTCTTTGCAAATTTTCTATCCTGATAATTTCCCCATCTTTAAAAACTTGGTGGGTTTTTTTTTTTTTTTGGTAAATTTGTCTGAGGTGTTATATTTTAAATGTGTTAGTCCTTTGCCATATTTGTACAAAGTAATTCAACTGTCTTTTAATTTATTGATAATAGTTTCATATTCATAAGTATTTTAAAACTCTGTTCATATTTTGAGGACCATTTTGCTCCCAATAGTGGCACATCATTTTATTTTTTTCAGAATATATTTTGAATTCTGGAAAGGCCGAAACAATTCCTAGTCAAGTCAGGTGACCAGAGTACAGATAAACAAATGTCATTGTGGTAAGGAAATGAACAAGCCAAAAAACAAAACCATCAGCAGCCGGGATGATATGATGATAACATTATGATTTTCTCATGTGATCAAGCAACTGCTTCAAAGCCAATTTCAAAAGTATTTTTAAAAGATAACATTGGTTGGATTATCTGAGCTCCCATAGAAATTAATTTAAAGGATAACAGAAAAAAATATTTTCCCATTATGATTTTTGTGACATAACGAAGGGACATATGGCATGAAATAAAGACTCAGCAAAGAGAATAAGAAGAGTTTTGTTAGCTCTGTCATGTTTAAGGTGTGTAATCATTCATTCAACGTAGTTGTTGAGAGCCTACTATGTGCCAGGCCTTGTTGTAAGTGCTGGAGATATGCCAAAATAAGCAATGACATAGTAGGTTAGAAGGCAGCAAGCACTATGGGATGAATTAAGTGTGTGTGTGTGTGGGGGGGGGATGGGACACTTGCAATTTTAAATAGGTGGTCAGGAAAGGTCTTCCTGAGAAGGTGTCAGTTGATCGAAAGCTGGAAAAAGGGGAGAGGAAAAGCCATGTTTATATCTGGAGGGAAGCATTGTAGACAGAGAGAAGAGCAAGAACCACATCCCTGAGGAAGGCTTGTGCCTGGAGTGTTTTAGAAAGACAAAGATGGCTGATGGGGAGTGGACAAGGGCAAGAGGAGGAGCAGATGAGGTGAGGAAGGTAAGACAGGAGGAGGCGGGTCGTGCACAGCCCTGAAGGCCACTGCAAGAACTCTGGCCTTTATCTTCGGTGAGAATAGGAGCCACGTGAGAGTTCTGAATGACATCATTTGCCTTATGCTTTAATTGGATCATTTCTGTGGAAAATACATTTTGGAGGGACAAGGGTGGAAGCCAGGAGACTAGTTAGGAGTTTGCAAGGATGATCCAGGGGAGGGATAATGATAGCCTGGAGCAGGCCATACTGTGGGAGGTGCTAGCTTGGTTCAGACATGGGTCAAGCTCTGGATATATTTTTACTTAATTTTCTCATATATCCCAATCTAAAGAACAAACATTAAGTGACAGTCATAATATCTACATATATACTAGAATTATCTTAATGAATTGCTATCAAATTTTGATATTTGATTTCTTAAAATGTTTCTTAAAAATGATAATTGTTAGAGAAATGTGAAATGTATGATCAGAAAGAATGGGCATACCTGCTGGAGTGGAGGCCTGGTGTGCCATCTAATCATAAGACTCTCACCTGAAAACGGGTAAGGGTTCATTGCCATCGTAGGAGCACAGGTAAGGAAAATATTGAAGGTCTGTATGACTGACAGCTTGAAGGCCAGTTGAAGGGGACTGTTGGCATGGGAAAGATTTTGTCCATCTAGAAATACAACCATTATAGATGGTTGTATTCTCAGACTCATTAGAAAGGCCAATTAAATGTGACTCAAGAGCCAAGAGATGCAAGTGTCTGGGACAAGGATATAACCTTTGTCTAGGTCGGACTGGGACATATTCTGAAAGAAGTAACCTTAGCTTCATGAGACGGGCCTTAAAAATTCTAAAAGCTGGAAGAACTGGTATGTTCTAAGAACCCCATGAGGGCCAGGTGCTGTGCTAGAGAATTTTCTCTGCTCATGTCATCCTCACAGTAACTCCCCCAAGTATTTTTAATCTCATTTCATGGGGGTGGAGACCTGGGCTTTTTGAGGTAAAATGACTTATTCAGGGTCATGCAGTGAGTGATGGAGGCAGGGTTTAAATTAGTTTGCATTCATGCAAGTCTGTGACGCTTTTGCTATACCTTATAAAGGAAATATGCAGGACTCCATGGCCCCCAGGTACTTTAAAGGTCAACGCTGGGAGATAGAGCTGTGGATGGACTCTGGCCATTTCCCTGGCAGCATGAGGACGGGGCTCTCTGAGGAGACGTGAGCTATTGTGGTTTCCGCACCTGGCCACAGATCGTAATCACCAGGAATTTCAGGGATATAATTTTTTATTTTATTTAGAAAAAATGTTCTGGTGACTTCTATATAGACAGCCTGTCACTTCCCCACCATTCCATACATGATGGAGAGCAACTCAGAATGAGATGTAGGGACAAAAACTAATAACCTATGACATAATAAACCCACAGGTAGCAACCTGAGACTCACTGACCAGAAGAGTCTAAAGAAATCAAGGTTTGTGATTTGTGTCAAATACAGACAATTTTTCTTAAATTTTGTTTCTAAATGAATAGTCTTTTTTGTGGTGCACAGCCATCATTTTCTGCATTGCAAGGGTCTCATAGAATCAAAGCGTACTAGAAGTGGAATGAACCTCAGAGATTGATCCCTTTACTGTAGAGCGGAGGAAACCGAGGCTCAGCGGTAAAGGAACTTGTCAAAGGTCACCAGAATCCGGATCCAGTGCTCAGTCCAGTGCCCTTCCCGCCAGGCAGTTCTGCCTCTCCAAGGACTTTTCTCCATGGTGTCAGCCAGCCTGCTGATCAAAGTTGCTATATTCCCTGGGCTTAATTCGAAAGTTCAATTTTGCCTACCTGCAGCTGTCCCCAGTATTGAAAACGCTATTCCCTGTCCACCCAGTTTTAATGATTCAGATTTCTCCAGCAAGAATAAGACTCTAGCTTGGTTTCAAATGTCAGGACTTTTCTGTACTTCATTTTCATTTTGAAAGGTTATTCTAATATGAATGGGGAAGGGGGAAGCAGAACGCACAGCGTCTCCCTGGCACTCATGCTGTTTCTTTAGTGCACCAACCCCTCCTTGCGATCTCTTCGCTTGCCTCTCAGTCCTATATTCAATTTAACGACCCACATTTTCTCACTTATCTCCCCAATTACTTTTATACCAACACACTTTGGAAAGAAAAAGGAAGGAAACATTTACTTCACCTACACCACTCTCATTCTACTCCTCTGCTTTAAACAGACACTTCTCTAGGAGGAATGTGCGTTGTCCCTGCCAGAAAGAACCCCCGGCTTGACTGACAGAGAAGCTGGTCATCGGCCACTTGTGGGGAAGGAGGAGAAATCAGATTAGTGTTTGTCCTTATCCTGGACCAGCTGCCACTCATGTTTTCCCTTCTCTCTTCCTTTCTTTCTCCATATTATGGGCCAAAGAATCAGGCCAGCTGTTTCCTGGAGCATCTTTGGCTGTCTATACAGAGATGAATAACATGATTTCAGCCTTTTTTTTATTTTTATTTTTGAGGAGGGTCATTTTTATAAGGCAAAAATTGTTACACCTTAGTATCTTTCTTCCTTTTTAAAATAGTGTCTCTTTCCTTCAGAGCATCAAGGAACTGTAGAAGAAAAGAGGAACATATGTTGGAAGATCTGGGGTCTCATGAGACAGTGATGTAACTCTGATTGGGCCACTGCCCTTTGGTGAGTGGGAGTCTCTGAAATTAACTAAGATTGTTGAGGTTCTTCACATGCCAGGCCTCCTGTGTCATGGAATCCTTTACTTGAAATGATACTGTAGAACCATAAGGAGGAAAACTCATGGAATTCCAAATAAATACAATAAAACTGAAAAAAAATAAATTAAGTCTCTGGGCAGTAGGCTCTGCTTAAAGTTCATCATCTGAAGGAGGAAGAAATTTACTTAAAATATCTGGTTTACTAAGACAGCACGACTCCTGTGTAGATTAGGACTATTTCCTAATCAATCATTCAATCCTAATAGCCCAATGATGTTGCTGTGATCCCCACTTCATCCTGGTAGCTGAGATGCAAAGAAGTTATTTCATTTTCCCAAAGTTACAATATAAGCTAGGACTCTGTCCAAGCCCACGTTTGTCTGATTCCCAATCCTTTCTCTCGAACTTGCTGCCTGCTGCTCCTGCCTATGTCTCAGCCCCTCCTTCTTCTGAGTTGGGTGTGTGGAGGTGGGTGAGTACCAAGGCAGAGGAAGAGAAGGGCCCTGTGTCATGAAAGATGGGTGGAGGGGAGGATATTGAGGCCACAAAGGCAGAGTCCACTGAGATGAGGGCATCCAGGGATATAATGCCTGGGACGGAATGATACTCTCAGTAGGGAAAACAGGCAGGCCAGGGGAGGAAGCACTGGCTGGGAATGCTGTAGGCAAAAGCCAAGGTGGGGTGAACTCGGGCAGCAGCAGCTACTGCTTTGAAACTGCTGCTTCTTCTCTAAAAAGGTTCATACACCCAGAGCTACAGGAAAATGAGTTATCTTTAACATTATCCTAATGCCTGTAGTTGAAATCTTTATGATACTTGGAACACTGACAGTTGAAGGCATTATGTCATCTGACAACTCAACAACTTTGTGGAATTGTTTTCTTTGCTGATATTCTGTCTCTTACAATGATGTTTACCTTTTCACTTCTACTTCTAGGAAGCTCAGAGTCCAATGGGTAGCCTACTTTTTGCAAATGAGTACACCTTTGTGGCATCATGGCCATAATAATTTCCCTTACTTTATCTTTGATCATTTTATTTCGACATATTTTATCTTACATTGTATACATCTTTGTGAATCTCCACAAAGTTTTTTTTAAATTCCCAGAATATTTCTATCTCCATCTATAGCTTCCTCTACACATTCACCTATAATTTCTTCTCTACTTCCATTTATACTTCATTTCTACTGCCATTATCCCTCATCTATACCTTTATCCACATGGATATAAGAGAAACAGGGACAGTCCAACTCTGTAGTTTTCTAGTTGTGTGTTTTTAACCCAAATTTGAATATGAAAGCATAATTTTAAAGCTTTTGACATAAAGATGGTTCACATCTGGTCTTGGAAACCTCCACTGTATTTCCATGAGAAAATCATTCATTGACAGACATACTAATGGGCCTGTGATACAGAACCCAAAACTTAAAAAAGTTCTAACCCATCAAGAAATCCCATTCATCATTTCATTTTTTGGAAAGGATATAAAAAATGAAATGTCAGAGCTATAATGTCAGGACCGTTTAAAATGTCAAGTGCTTGTTGTTGCATAGCCTGCCTGTCTGCTGTTCTGATCAAACCTCCAACTGGCATAATAATTACAGATGATACATTGCATTTTCATGCACAACTGGACACAGATTTATAACAAATTGGATGAAAACATTCTCACTGCCCAGTCTGAAGTTTTCTCCTTTTACTACATAGCTTAAGACTTTTCCTTTAGAGCAGAACAGTATCATTAGTTCAAGACAGCATTCGAGGTAAGAAATGAGAAATAAGGGCAGAAAAAAAGTTTCTCAAATAAACCAGAACTCAGTCATTTATAATATACAGATGCAACAAGAGCTAAGAGGCAGTAAACACATTTGCCAAATGCATGTGTAATCTAAGAATGCTAAACTATGGAGACACTTTCCAGATAATCCAGTTCTATTTCAAGATGCAGATTAAGCATGCAAGAAAACAGACCTTCGGGCTTTAGTTTGAACTGATAGGTGTGGAGACAATCTTTCAGTTTAATCATCCTGTCTTAATCTGCAGAGAGAGCACTAGTGGACAAACAGAAAAGCAACAATGTGTCTGTTTAGGATTTTTATGGAAGTCTCTATTGGATTAAAATAAATGTTGTATTCATAAACCTATGGTAGTCATGGTAAATAGCTGACATTGACAGCATGTACATGAGGAAGATTGTATTTCTTCTCTACTGAAATGTTGTGCTCACTGAAAGCATTCAGTGAGAAAGCAGCAGCCTGTCCCTCTCACTGGGACACGCATCCTTACAGATGCTTCATTTTCACCTTCCCGAGACCAGCCTTCTCAGGTGGTTTGGAGAAGTCATCGGTGGTGTCTGGCTGCTTCCCGTTACAGATTGCTTTCAGCACGTTGGAAAGGTCGAAGCTCTTGTAAACAATCTCTAGGAGATCCTGATCTTTTTCCAGGCCATTGATAAATTCTTCTAAAGTCAGTTCTCCTGGAAAATAACAAGTGAGCAATTAACAAGAGCCTTCATAAGTACCACTCACTAGCACATACAATATATTTACTGGTATTTTTGTTGATATTCTTCTGATATCCTTTCTCTTCAACTAATCTTTAAGGTCTTTGAAGATCTTCATATAAAACAGCATTCAATGGTGTGGATGCCAATGAAAATAAAGGTAATATAATAAATACAATCTATTTTTATTTTTGGTTGAGAACATCAGGTAATGCACCCGATGAAATAAGAGCACAAATACATTTACATCTCGACACATTATTGGTTTTTGGACCTTTAATCTTGAAGGTGTGACCAGATCATAGAAGCAAGACAGATTGTAGATAAAAAGATCCAGAGGAAATTACTGTTCATAAGGTTGTTCTCAATATTCTTCTCTCTGAGGAAATAATTCCAGAGACTGTCCAAAGCTGCAAGGAAGCTTAAACAATTATTCATTCCGCATATTATTATTGGTCAACAGTTTTCCTCTCCCTCTCTGGCTTTTGAGTCCTAATTTTATCACCTTGACTTAAACCTTAGGCCTGGGCTGGCCAGCTCAGTGCTGTAGGCCTGTAGCCTTATACCCATGTGTACTGGCTGGCATGTTTTTTCACTATCTTCATCCCACAAGACTACTTTTTAACATTTTGAGGGGCTGGAATTCTCTGTTGACATAAATCATTTGTATTGGGATTATGGGTGTGTTTAGGCTGAAAGAGATTGTACCCAGTAGGATTTGTGGCTAGGTGGAAGATCAGCCACAGAGTGAAGTACCTTTGGTAACCAGAGAAATCAAGTGCTACACTGTACCTGTACCTTTCAGTGGATAAAAGTAAGTATCTAAAATACCGTAATAGTGATTCAAATGTAAATAAGAATGAATCATCACATTTTCATATGATACCTTCCTTTTGATTTCAATGTAAAATACTAAAATAAATTTTCTTTTGGAGGGAAATCTAATTTTTGTTCCTTAATGTTTTACTTATGCCAAAGAAAGGTCTGCACAAAACCCCAGCTAGCAGCGGTTAGTAACAGAAGCCCCTGCGTGTCACAGGGAAAGCACAGCCCCGACTGCACAGCAAGAGGAGTGGTAGGAGTGTGGGCGGGGGTCGCATGGACACAGTGGTGATTTGGCAGGAGGATCTGAAATACTCCAATAACAACGGCCCTTTGCAGAGGGAAATCACAGCTGGTAAATTCCCAACCCAGGAGACTTTTCAAATTTCTAGGGCTCAGCATGACCAAAAGCAAAGTGGGAAGGGAGCTAGGGGAATTGGGGTCATTTTAATTCCTCAGGCATAAAATGTCTCTGCCATCACCACTGGCGATGGGAGAAGCTGTATCTGAAGGGACTGGGACATCATCTCGGCTGAAACGCAGGACAGGTTCCTGATGTGGGAAAAGAGAACAAAGATGGAAGTCTTCACTGCTGTTTCTTCACTACTTCAAAACAGCTGTGAGCTCTGCATGCTAACTTTTTTCATGTTACCTAACCACTTATCATTAAAGAAAAAAACTGTTCCAAATGGTCAACCTTTCTCTACAGTAACTTATAATGTTTACTATATCTAAACTACTTCTTTTGAAGTTTTCTTCTTTTTCCCTCTAGCACTCAACATTTGTTCATTTATTCATCAAACATTTATTGAGCCCTAACTACAATGACCACTGCCACCACTGCACGGCTACCACGGCTGCAGCCGACTACAGCAGCATTCCGAATATGGCAGGTGCTCAGAAAGCATGCTGACAGATTGCCTTCCACTATCTGATGTTCTTTAACAGTGCTCCCTACTCCTCCTTACTTCGACTGTGAATTTATGCCCAAACAAATTAAAAGGATAATTGCTGGGTTTTTCTAGAAAGGATTGCCTGTGAGGGTCTAGAAGCTTCCTACCAAAGAAATCTACCAGCAAAGAGCCAGAGCCGGTAAGAGATGATTGAGCTGGAGATCATGGGACTCAGAATGACATAAAGTGATTACTGATTTTTATTATTTTGTTTTATATCTAAAGACACATTTCATTTTTTATGGGGCATAATTCAGAAATTCCACAATTCTATATTTATATGTTGAAATATACATACACACATAACTGATATCTCCGTTGTTTAGGGCTTTGTTGTGTTGCTGGATGCATTCTCTAATCCTGGGGACCCTGAAGGTCAGTATTATGGTCCTTTTTCATCACTCCTAATTTCAGCAGTTTCATTGGTAAGAGAAGAGCTACCCATGAATATTTTCATTGCAATCTGGTTATTCTATTGATATTCCTGGATTATACATTTCTTCCTATTAACATCTTAATTAATCTTTTATAGTAAAACTCTCCCACCCCCCAAAAAAGGAGTAGAATTCACTGTGCATGCCCACATTAGCATCTTTGCTCTAAAGAAGTCAGCCTGATTTTAAAAGAAAACAGTCTGTGTAAAGGAATTATTTTCAATTCCAATTCTTTTAAACTATAGCTTCATGAAAAATTATGCTGGGACTGGGAAATTAGCAAAGATGGGGTGGAGGAGATTCAGGAAATGAGAATGACAGGGTTTTCAAGGGAGGATGCTGGTGAAGATTTTAAACGAGGCTTACAAGTATTGTGTTCATTAGCAAGGTGGCACTAGAGGCATTTAGCAGCATTTTATAGCAGGTTTTAGCATGCAGCAGTTTCTTCTCTATGGGGAAACTCAATTCCCTCTTATCTCTTGGTAGTTCTCAGTTTCCCAATTTAATTCAGTATGACTCTCCTGGCTTTCCACAATGTTTCAAGTCTAAAGCACTGATCTTTCTTTTTAGTCACTCAGTAAAACGTCTTTCTCTATGTTCTGTTCCTGTTTTCTTTTACCTAAAATATCTGCTTAATAATCACCCTCTTTCATGTCCTCTTTGGCCTCTTTTCACTGTCACAGTTTATTGTTATGAGCCACTTAAGTCACCCTTATCCCTGTGCTATTTGGCTCCATGTTAAACTTGCCCAGGCATTTTCTGCACTAGATGTTGTGAACAATATCTATAAATCTTCCTAATCATGACTCCTGCTGGAACCCAGTAGAATGTGGATTGCTATTCTTCTGCTAGCAAAGCCTGTGGAAGCCCATCCTTCATCATTTATCCTGACTTGGCCTGTTTTCATTCTTCAATAATATTGAATGTTTAGCTTCAATTTTCCTGCCTTTGTGATTCTCTTCAAGCTCTTCTTCCTGATGCTCATGTTCATAACATAAAAATAAAACTAACTTGTTAAATTATAATAATAGAGGCTTATGGTAAAAAAAAATTCAGACAATACATAAAAGTGTAATAAAAAGAAAGAACTCCTCTTTAGCCTTGTTCTGGCCTCCAGTCACACTTTTCATAGGTAATTAACTCCTGCTAACCAGTCCAGGTTTATATTTTGTGAAGTTCACAATGCATATGCATATATATTTTAACTCACAATGCATAAGCATATATAGTTTAACTTGCAAAATATTCTAGACGTCCTTCTTCCTACAGATTGAATTTCATGTTGTGCTTGCTTCTTCATTATTCTTTATTTTTCTTATGACATCTTCTTAATACATGCTTACTCATTTCATAGTTATTTATGCAGCACAGGGAATATCAAAGTACACAAAACAGAAATAGTTCTTGCCTTTGTGGAGCTTATAGCTCTTTATCTCTTTATAATTCTGTCATTACTCCTATACTTCTCTTTTGCTTAAACTTCTAACTTTGACTTGCTAACTATCATGAGGCTTATGTATAGAATACTCTGTTGTGTATTTTTCTGTCACAACAGATGTAATGCTGGTTGTTTATTTTGCAAGCAATTTACAATCAAATTGTGATTTTCATATATGTTCCGAAAGTTTTTTTAGCTATATCTTTGTGTGCTGTGATCAGCTTTATCTTTGTTTTCAATATTTATTAGATTATTAGATACCAATAATTTGCTTGTTTTTTATTTTGAGAGATCAAAAATATTTATGCTGGCATATAGTCAATAGAATTCTAGTATACTTAATTGAACACCTTTAGGTGTACCAACACTGATGTTTTGATAACAATGATAATAATTAAAAACTCATATTTGAGGTATACATATATTTAGGCTTATACAACTATGAGTGGATATCTTCCTATGTGATGCCAACTCTCCCCTGATGTGTGAATGAAGCACTTTACATTATTATCCTCTATTCTCTATCAAGCACTTGCCAAATCCTTTTGCCCTTCTGCAAATATCAACCCATTATGTCTTCATTATTTTCTCTTCCTTGTCTTCTGCTGCATTGGACTTTCTCTGTCCAATAACACATAATTTTAGCATCTTTTTCTCGATACATGAGTGACCCAGCTGCCTCTTGATGAGATGATGTAACAACCTTCAATAATTTCCATATAAAAACATATCCAATCAGTTTTAGCTCTGTAAATGCATTTGGTAAGAAACAGTGGTTCAGTCCACAGCCGTATCACTCTGAACATGCTCAACCTTATCTGATCTCAGAAGCTAAGCAGGGTCAGGCCTGGTTAGTACATGGATGGGAGAAATAATGGTTCATTGTTATTCCAAAGTGTGTGTGTGTTTATTTTTTGTACTTAAAATGCAAGTTTTTATCAGAGTAAATAATTAGTGTGTTTAGTTTTATACACTATTCTAGAAACCATAATGTACCCCCTCTTTTCTGTTGACACATGCTTCCAGGTCAAAGAGCCCATTTCTCTAACTTGAGGTAACCTCAGCTATTGCCTGAGCACAACTTCTCTCCTCTGAATTCACATCTTTTTTTCAACCCAGTTCTTTCCATTTCAAAGCCCCTTCAAATCTCTCTCCCCATTTTATTGATTCCTTATACTTTTTCCTTGTGGTATCTCCTTAAATAGTAAACAAAAAGTCCTGCATCATTTTTCTGCTTTCTGGAATATATTATCTGTGTCCTCAAATGAATAGAAATTTCTCTGTTTCCTAAAGATGCCCAAATCCTCATACCTCTCTAAGGGAAGTCACTTTCCTATCCCCCCACTCTTAGCACTAGAAGCATTGACCATCGATATTATCAAACATTCTTGACCTGCCCTTTTGAAATTCAATGTATAGACTAAGCCTTAAACCTTCCTGATGTTTCATCTACTTCCAAAATAGTGTTCTTTTACGTCAATATTTTTCAGCCCTGGGATGAAATAGTTTATCCTCTCTACTCCAATCCCTGCCATCCTGCAGTACCTCTAAGATTAAAAATAAAAATGAAACCGAACAAAGCCTATAGCAGTCTCCCATTTGATGACCACTGTTTTCAGCTGCATATTCCAAATGAGGTCTTCACTGGCCTTCTCAAGCCCTCTGCTCTCCATTTCTCAGGTCCTTTTCTAGCTTCACTTAGCCTCCTTATCTACTCTGGGTAGTCTCACTGCTTCTTGCAAGCTTTCACATGAACTGGCTTATTTTATTCGATCTTATTTTATTTGATCTCTGTATGCTAGTAAGTGAGCACACTGACTTGAGATTCCAGAGAGACAGATCTAGGCCTAGTCTTTAAGTATAGAGGAAGACTGATGCTATTGCTAGATCTCCAAGTTGTTTTCCTGAGAAGTATACTCTTGCCCAGTTGTTTGGTCCCCTCACAAGGGTGTCTGCATTTGAACTTCCTCTCAGCCTCCTCACCATCCCATCCTTCCACCCCGAGCTGCCACATTTGACCAGTACAAAGTGCCACACTCAGCGTGGGAACATGGGTCTCTACTGCCCTCTTGTGTCCACTGACAGAAGTGACGCATGGCGGGCAGGTTGAGTCAGTAGGAGTTACTGTGGATTGAATTCAATCATGACTGGAATCCCAATGCCTTTTATCCATTTTTTTTTTTTTTTTTTTTTTGAGACAGAGTCTCACTTTGTTGTCCAGGCTAGAGTGAGTGCCGTGGCGTCAGCCTAGCTCACAGCAACCTCAAACTCCTGGGCTTGAGTGATCCTTCTGCCTCAGCCTCCCGAGTAGCTGGGATTACAGGCATGCGCCACCATGCCCGGCTAATTTTTTATATATATATCAGTTGGCCAATTAATTTCTTTCTATTTATAGTAGAGACGGGGTCTCGCTCTTGTTCAGGCTGGTTTTGAACTCCTGACCTTGAGCAATCCTCCCGCCTCGGCCTCCCAAGAGCTAGGATTACAGGCGTGAGCCACAGCGCCCGGCCTCCATTCTTTTTTTAACCTCTTACTGATATCTCATATTTTCCGCAATGCCAAATTTTCTGTTTTTCAAGGACTATTCCTATATATTCTGCATCAATCTCAAGTCAATAGGCTCACCTACCATTTTGCTGAGATCAAAGCCATTTGGTATAAGCACTCACTTCTCTTGGAATATCTGTGTCTTCTCTCACCACTCCTGCCTCTGAAAAAGAAATGCACCTCCTCTGGGCTAAAAAGAACCCAGATTTCATGGTAGAAGGAGCAGAAATGAGAACAAGAGTAGAAATGTAGAAAAGATAGAAAAAGCAGAAATGGAGGCAAGTATGGACGATTCTCCAGAAATGTGTAGTCAGGGGGAAGGAAAAAGTCCGACAGTAGGAGAAGGCAGCATAATTGAAAGAAGCTTTTCTACAGTAGAGAAAACTTGAGTTTATTTATAAGTTCATGGAAAAACTCCAGTCTCTAGATTAATAGAGCATGGCCCAGAGCAATGATTAATAGAGCATGGCCCAGAGCAAAGGGCAGAAGGTTCCGCATCCTATATTCTCCCAATCTCTCTTTGTGTCTCTCTCTACTCTTTATATATTCCAATGTGGCATGCCCCACACATTGGATATAAATACGGTCAATAAACATTTACTCAGTTGAATTTACCGACTAGAGAACATTGGATTGTCAAATTATGAAGCCCAAGTCACAAGTAGGGTTCTCTTGATAGGTTTCTGCTTTTGTCTAAATGACATCCCCTGCCCGCCACCATCTCCTGTTTTTAAGAAAGTGAGTCATAGGGGAGTAGCTCCCTTACCATCATTGTTTATGTCAATCTTACGAAACACCAAGTTGGTGAATTCCTCAGGACTCAGAGTTTGCTGGCCACTGAGGGCTTGTACAGCCTGCAAAGAGACGTTACATGAGAGAGTTCAACTTTGCTGGAAGCAAATACATTTTGTAGTATTTCTACTCTAATGTGGCAGAATTCGGGGATGTATTAATGTCAGTTTTTGCTCTCCAACCTGTTCCAGTTGTTAAAAATAAATAAAGAGAAAAGATTTTTATGTCAGTTCTAGGTAATGAGGCTTGGAAAGTAAATTAACTGAATAAAATCTGAAGTCTGACTCTATACAGCATCAAGGAACTAATTCAATACATTAGGCAACAGAAGATGCAAAAAGCCCATTGGAGAAAATATCGCAGTGGTCATGGTCATAAGAGCTCTGCACCCAGAAAACAGACATTGTTCTCGGTTTCAGACTGATTCATTTGGTCCATATGGATGAACGGAGGAGACTCTGTAAGACTCTAAGGCTTCATCTCTGGCTTCCCCACTGCCACCTCTGGCTCTTTGTGCTCTTCCGTACAATGAACAACTGGGAAGACAGATATATATGCCTTAGAATGATGCAGAATTTCTCTCATATTCTGCTAGCACCTTTTTTTCATCATAAAAGTTGTCAGAAGACCTGGGGCAAATGACATTTCCAGCTTTCCTAGAGGGAAGATTTAGCCAAACCACTCCCTGCAAAGGTGATTAAATGACCCAGATTAGAGATAGAAATTCATAATAAATTGAAAGAGAATTAGTCGTCTGGGAATTTGAACATAACTATCTTTATTGAACATGAAAGGATCTTTAGAAAACTTGCTGGCAACATATTTCAATTAGAGGGCACACATCTTCAATGTGACTCTCCCGCTTGCTGTTTCACAAGCGTCACTAACCTTGAATCCAGGATTAATCATAATAAACAGTGGTAAAGCATTTGCTTTAGCAAGCCCAGGTCTCGCAGATCTCACAGTTAAATATAGGACAGTGCTTGGAGTCACCGTTACATACATGCAACGTCACATTGGAGGAAAATCTTCAGGGCTTCTCAGTGTTGGGCAGAGGCTCCAAAAGCCTAGACAGTGGGCCAGGTGTCCAGTATGCCCACATTCCGAAGTGACACAAGACCCCACATACAAATCACAGTAAACACTTGTGAAATCTTAATTTGTTCTTTACCCATCTTCAGGCAAGGTGAGAGTAAAATACTGATTGGAAGGTGGGCGAGGCCTGAGGATAGAATCATCAGCTTGCTCTGTTTTCCTTCTTTTTCTTGTAGGACAAGTAGGGTTGGGGGAAGGGCAAGAAGGCATGTTTTAGGGTTTTTTTTCCCCTTCTTTTATTCCTCATTTGGCATATCCGCTCCTTCTCCCTCATTTTGCTCATGACAGTGTCTGAGCACTGCCTGAGTGGGAGCAGGAGCAGCTGGAGAGAGAGGGGAGCAGACAGTTTTTGGTTGGCAGGTGCTGTCATGTTCGCTAGTCTCAGTGCTCTCTGGACTGGCAGGTCTTTATAGTCCACTCTTGCTCTGAAACCCCCTCCTCTCCATCACTGAGACTTTCTCTCTCCTGCAATTCCCTAGACATGAATCATGCATCTTGATTCCAGCTGGTCTCTTTCTGGGTCAGAGTCTCTCAAAATCTACACACTAGACATTTTTGGACTAGACAATTCTTTCTTGTTCAGGGCTGTTCTGTGCATTGCTGAATGCTTAGCAGCATCCCTAGTCTCTAACAAATACATGGCAATAGCATCCCCCCACCCCCCGTCCTCCACTCCCCAGTTAACCAAAGTGTCTCCAGACATTGCTAAGTGTCCCCTGAACAGGGATTCTCCTGGTTGGGAACCACTGCTCCCAGACTGCCTCCAGCTTTCTTCTCCCGAGTTTCCCTCAGCCCTCAGATCTTGCTAGACAAGATCTGAGACAACTCTATGCCAGCTGTCTTTCACCGTGGTCCACGCCAGATTCATGGAAAACACCCCAGCATCCTTTGTCCCAGAAAATTCTAGGACTGCAGATACTTTATCAACTGCACCTTTGCGGCCGTGTCTGCTGCTTTAGACCTCTCACTGTGACTCAAACTCCCAAACAGTGTGTTCCCCAAACTGCAGTGCACCTCCACTCTCAATGGTTTCCTTAAATCTCCATGTTACTGACTTCAGGAAGTCAAGAAATTCTCCTAAAAATCCTTCTCTTGATCATTTTATATCCTCAAAGTGAGATCAAGATGTAACTACCTCCTTTGTAAATTCTCCCTATAATCTAGTACTTTCTTCCAATCTCTTAATGCCTGGGCTGAATTTCATTTTAACCTTTTCATTGTATGTAGAGAGGACTTAGATTATACATCTATATTATTCTTTACCTTGATGGCTGTTTTTTTACTTGCCGTTGTATAGAAAGTATGTTCACCAATTTTTTTAATAGGTACATACTCTACTGCCTTAATTTAAACATTTTCCTCTTTTAGTGTTTTTTTTTTTTTATTTTTAGTATCTTAAGAGATTTTGTGATGTAAATCCTAGAACTTTTACCCTTAATGATTGTTTTTTCTGACCCAAAATAAGTAGTGTTGACTTTAAAGTGAAGATCAACTTTTAGCCTCTTGATGCAGCTTGGCACATTTCCAGGAATGTTATATCCACTTATATCCTCTCCACAGTACGTAAGGGTGCCCTTCTTATTATGCTCCTTCCAGAATTAGCTATCACTGTTTATAGTACATATTAATTTTAAGTCAAATTATATCAAATTATTAAATTAATTTCTACTCTTTGCTTTGATTATTTCAGTTTCCCTATTTTTGTTCCCTTTCTAAACACATTAAGGAAAAAATTCACTATTTAATATTTCTCTTTCCTTGACTAACTTAAGTTGTATTTTTTTTTTTTTTTTTTTTTGAGACACAGTCTTCCTCTGTTGCCCAGGCCACAGTGCCATCGTGTCATCACAGCTCACTGCAACCTCAAACTCCTAGGCTCAAGTGATCCTCCTGCCTCAACCTCCTGAGTAGCTGGGACTATAGGCGAGCGCCACCATGCCTGGCTTCTTTTTCTATTTTTTGTAGAAATGGGGTCTTGCTCTTGCTCAGGCTGGTCTTGAACTCCTAACCTCAAGCTATCCTCCTGCCTTGGCCTCCCAAAGCGCTAGGATTACAGGAACAAGCTAAAGCATCCAGCTTAAGTTGTGCATTTTAACTAATGAAAATCTATGCACATTTTCCTATAATACTTAAATAAAATCACTTTTATCTTTTTGTTATTTCTAACTCTCTTGAGAACCTGATGACTCTCCCCTTCACCCCCCAAAAGTGCATAACATACAGGCAAAATTTTGCCATCAATTACAAGGGCTCCAAGATTCCTGAAGACCAAAAGTCCATAGATCCAAAGATAGGCACCCCTGCTCTGAGTAATGCTTTGGTGGCATCCCCTAGGATTTGTATACCATGTTTACATTTTAATCATTTTTAGAATAAGCCAGTATATATTTATTTATAAGGATATTTTAAAATTTATATGGGGTTGGACACTCTCTATAGAATATTTTAGATTCCTAATTTTGTGTTGTAATATGTAACGTATTTACAGAATTTCTAAGTTTTAATGCTTACAGAGTTTGATTGCCAAGTGCATCTTTATATATTTTTTTGGTGAATGAACTATGCAAGATTACAGTGGTAGCAATATTAGTATTATCATAGCTTTGAATTCTTACCATGTTGGTTAACTCTACATTTGCTTATTTAGCTTCACATGTTTATCTGCTTTCTTGATTTGTTGAGATGTTTAATTATAATTATAGTTCTACCCAATTATTTTTTCTGGCATTTTTGCTAATATTTCTACCATGTATTTTGTTTGTAACTCAACTCCTTCATCTATAGAATAAAGAATTTATACCAGATCATTTCTAAGATATCTGATTCCAATACTCTTTGATTATGTGTTACAAATTCAGTGTGTTATAGTCATAATGTTAATTACACCTCTCATCTTCATTTAGGTCTAGTGTCCCACTTACGCATTTTTTACTCTGGGATCCTTTTCATCTCATACCATGATAATAACTATCCCCTTCTCCATTGGAGGTGGGGGTGGTAGTAGGGGGGTTGTTTGTAAAGGCACTCATTGAACTTTAGTGATGGAAAGGATATGAGACCCCTGAACCAACTATTAGAAATACTTTGGTGTAGCTCCCCAAAAGATTAGTCTTTACATACCTTCCTTCTTCATTCTTAGTCCAAGTCTTTTGTCATATATATATATGCATATATATGTGCATATATATGTATATGCATATACCATCTCGTTTTAGCTGCTCCCTGCAAGACTTTCTGCACTGAGGCAGAGAAAAAGATAAATTGTTTTTGAATATCACATTTATTTCATTTTTCATGTCAGTGCTCTGCTCAATTTGTGAATGTCTGAGTGGATTGCACCAAGAAAAAAACATTGACTTTCAGTTGTACATTCAGTAACCAATATGATAAGTGAAATTTACACTGCTTCAGCAATTCAAAACGTACACCCCAAGAACAGCCAACCACATAGAAAGCTATCACCCCCTCCATAAGGAGGAAATTAAACTAACCATATAGTGTCCTCCAAGGATACTTTACTACTTCACTTACCATGAAGATGTCCAGAAGTTCATTTTTATCGATAGAACCACTTCCATCAGCATCATACAGCTTAAAATACCATTTTAATTTTTGGTGCATTTTTTCTCGCACGATTAGATTTATAGCAGCGATAAACTCGAAAAAATCAATAAATCCATCCTGTGGAAAGCAAGATTGAAAGGAAAATAAATATTAAAGAAGAACAATTGTTTTTTATTTGAGAAGTCATTATTCATGAACAGGACCTTTAGTACAATTTAATATAATCCATAAGATTTCAGCATAGATCTTTTTCCTAGTGCTTCATTAAAAAAAAATACATAGGTAATGTTTATAGAAACAAGTGACTTTAATTTTAAGTGCATTTAAAAACAGTGCATTTAAAATAGGCATTTAAGTGCATCTTAAAATAGGCATTATTTTTAGAGCAGTTTGGGACTCACAGAAAAATTTAAAAATACAGAGATTTCCCATATACCTCCTGCCCCCACACATCCATAGCAATCCGCCATTATCAACATCCCCTACCAGAGTGGTACATCTGTTACAATTTATGAATCTACATTTATATATCATTGTCACCCAAAGTCCATGGTTTACATCGGTGTTCACTCTTGGTATTGTACATACTATCGGTTCACCATTATAGTATCATATAGAATAGCTTTACTAAAAATCTGTTATACTCTGCCTATGCAGAGTATCTTCACTAACTCCTAATAGGCAGTGATTTTTTTTTACATTCTCCATAGTTTTGCCTTTTCCAGAATGTCATATGGTTGGAATCATAGAGTAGGTAGCCTTTTCGGTTTGTTTTCTTTCACTTAGTAATATGCATTTAAATGTCTTCCATGTCTTTTCATAGCTTGATAGCTAATTTTTTCTCAGCACTGAAAAATATTCCATTATCTGGATGTATCTCAGTTTATTTATCCATTCACCTACTGAAGGATATCTTGGTTGCTTCCAGATTTTGGCAATTATGAATAAAGTTGCTATAAATATCCATGTGCAGATTTCTGTGTAGACATAAGTTCTCAACTCCTTTAAGTAAATATCAAGGTATTTTGGATAGTATGGTAAGAGTATATGTAGTTTTTTAAGAAACTGCCAAACTGTCTTCCTAAGTGGCTATACCATTTTGCATTCCCACCAGCAATGAATGAGAGTTCTGTTGTTTCATATCTTCATCAGCATTTGATGTTTTAGTGTTTTGAATTTTGGCCATTCTAATATATGTATAGTATTAACCCTCTGTTTTAATTTGCAATTCCCTGATGACATATGATGTTAAACATCTTTCATAGACTTATTTGCCATCTATATATCTTCTTTGGTGAGATCTTTGGACTATTTCTTAATCAGGTTTTTTGTTTTCTTATCATTGAGTTTTAAGAGTTCTTTGTATATTTTGGATAACAGTCCTTTATCAGCTAAATCTTTTGCAAATATTTTCTCCCAGTCTGTGACTTGTCTTGTCATTCTCTTGAAAATGTCTTGTACTGAGCAGAAATTTTTATTTTAATGAACTCCAGCTTATTAATTTTTTTCTTTCATAGATCATACCTTTAGTGTTACATCTAGAAAGTCATCGCCAAACCTAAGTTCATCTAGATTTTCTCCTATGTTATCTTTTAGGAATTTTATAGTTTTGTATTTTATATTTAGGTCTGTTGTCCATTTTGAGTTAATTTTTGTGACAGGTATAAGGTCTTTGTACAGATGCATTTTATTTTTTTGCATGTGGATGTCCAGTTGTTCCAACACTGTTTGTTGAAAAGGCCATCTTTTCTCCAGTGTATTGCCTTTGTTCCTTTGTCAAAGATTAGCTGCCTAAAGTTTGTCTATTTCTGGGCTCTATATTCTTTTTTATTGATTTATTTGTCTATTCTTTCAGCAATACCACACTGTCTTACTTGCTATAGCTTTATAGTAAGTCTTGTAGTAAGATAGTTTCAGTCCTCCTTCTTCAATATTGTATTAGATGTTCTGGGTCTTCTGCCTCTCCATATAAACTTCAGAATCAGTTTGTCAATATCTATAAATAATTTTCTGAGATTTTGATTGGGATTTCATTGAATCTACAGATTAAATTGGAAAGAACTGACATCTTTACAATATCAAGTCTTCCTATACATAAACATCTCTACATTTATTTAGTTCTTTGGTTTCTTTCATCAGAGTTTTGTAGTTTTCCTCATATAGATCATGCACATATTTTGTTAGATTTAAACCTAAAAATTTTATTTTGGGAGTCTAATGTAAATGGCAATGTATTAAGTTCAAGTTCAAATTCAACTTGTTCATTGCTGGTATTTAGGAAAGTGACTGACTCTTATATAAAAACTTCGTATCCTGCAACCTTGCTATAATCTCTTTTTAGTTTTAAGAGGGTTTTGTTTTGTTTTGCTTTTTGTTTGTTCTTTTGGATTTTCTATTTAGACAATTATGTTATTTACAAAGTCAGTTTTATTTCCTCCTTCCCAATCAGTATACCTTCTATTTCCTTTTCTTATCTTATTGCATTAGCTAGGACTTCCAACATGATGTTGAAAAGCACTGGTGAGAGGGGATATCCTTACCTTGTTTCTGATCTTAGTGGGAAAGCTTCTAGTTTCTCACCATTAAGTATGAGGCTTGCTGTTGGATTTTTGTTAGATATTCTTTTTCAAGTTGAGTGCCTTTTTAGAGAATATATCTACTTCTTGTGCCAAAGAAACTAACTAAAATGTCATGACAGAAGGCTAAGTCCTCACCACTGAGCTCCTACAATGCTTTTCTTCTCCTAAATACCTTTGGAATTTGTCCTCTTCTGAGGGTTAAGACCATGTACTAATTTTAATAGAAGGAAAACATCAAATAGACAAATTGTGTATTCCTTTTTGTAGAAACTATTAATAGTTGATATTTTTGGACTGTTAAATTCCAGTTTAGCATAAATCCTTTAAATGCATAATTTTAAGTATGAATCAAAATTAATGAGGCTCTTTTACTATAAACAATTTTGTCCTATTAGTCAATCTTGCAAAAAATTATTTAAGGATTACAAAGTTTAGAAAGTTTCCCCTGTCTTGTTTTAAATTAGTAAAACATTTCAGTTGAAACAGAACTAGTCTGTGTCACCCTTAAGAATCATACACTTCAAATCTTGCACCCAAAGATGCTCAACTGCCTTAAGAAAGGTGGCTAGCTCTAGGGAGGCATGAGATTCACTCTTTGCTATTTTTCCATGTGAATTCTAATGCTGATGGCAGCATATCCAGCCCAAGTAAACATGCTGTTGGCTGCATTCTCTTTGGACTACTTGTGATGTTAAGGCCTATTTACAAAACCAAGATGTGACATAAGGTATCCCCCATTATAAAGAGCTTTAGACTTCTCAGTCTGTAAAGTGATATGTGTTTCCTCTGAGTCTCATGCTTTTGTGAATAGTTTCACCAAGTCCATAAGAAAAGCAACTGAGAAATCACCACTAGCTCTGAAGAGGAAGCAAGGCCTGTCTGGCTGGTTAATGGCTTTTTTTTTAAAACAAGTATTTTTTTTTTTAAATAAGAAAACAGCAATATCTCAGATGTTGGAAACCAATGTGCTAGTCAGTAAAGCATTGTCTTCTAAATTTATTATACTCTTTTATTTTCCATTCTGTGGATGTTTTACTTATAGTCAGAAAATAATAAGAAAACATTTAAAAATTGCTTTACTATGTTTGATATTAGATTTTTATGTTTCATAGCTTAGGCATCTTTACCCCATCAATAACTTTAATATTTCTTATAAGAGATAAGACTTCTTACAGATGAGAGTCTCGTTGAATGGGTATTCTAAAGGAAATTTGTTTAAAAATACAAAAGCTGTTTTTAGCCTTTCTTCATCTGCCTTTCCTACAACTTGCTACCACTTCACCTTATTAATCCCTAGCACAGCTATGGCTGAGACAAGGGGAATATGTTATTACAGAGTTGAAATTTATTTAAGATGACATCAAGATATGATATCTCCAGATTCAGCAGGACATGACTACTATTTTTCAGAAACTGGACTGGAGGTATAGAGGATATAAGCTGGATGGACAGTATCCAGCCAGAGGTACATCTGTTCCCAGGCCCTCCTCCTCCTGGGGCTTTAGGGTTTGGCCAATCAATACAACGGTCCCTGGGCAGTTACTGTGTGAGTTTACCAAAATATCACAGAAGCACCCTCCCTACAAAGCAGGCTTGTTATTAAGGTGATCCTCCAGAGTTTCCATAAAAACCTTTTATTTGATGACAGTTTGTTTCATTTTACAAGTTCCACCTCACTGACCACATTTTTCGATGTCACCTGTATGATGAATGGCAACAGGCTAAATTGAGCAATGTTACCTTTAGAACATTTAGTATTTTATTTTTAGGCATAGCGCGTGGGTAGTCCTAACACCTTCCAACCTAGGCTCTAAAAGCTCTGGGCAAGCCCTGCCAGGAGATTAACATAAATATTTTCACTGCATGGTTTTTAAATGGACAACCTAGTTAATCATACCTTTCTACTTAGACAAGAGCAGCCTCTTTCAAAATCTTCTGTAAGCAACACATTTCCTGTTTTCATGTCAGCATGCTGTTATACAGTTTGGCAAGTTAATCCTTGCAATTCACAGCCAACTCTTCTTTCCTATCTTTCTGGTGAGAGGTGGTAGAAATTTACATTGGTGAGATGACTCTGGTACCAATGTAATTTAACAGCTTGTGTTAGTGTTGGAGAGGGTTTTAAGTAGATGCTTATTCTATAAATCAGAAGAAAACAATCAATGATTGTCTTCAGTTAATATAGATTTCAAAGGCAGGGGAGGAGGATAATTTTCGCTGAGAAGGTAAGGAGATGTCTTTGCAAATGTGCCAAGGAAAAATGCAATAGAGAACGTCTAGAGGCTTTTCTCTGGGATGGCTCTGTTCTCCAGAGAACACTCCTAAGCTCATGTTTCTATATTGAACCTCAGGAGTCCCACAGCGCACAGAACTGCCTGGAGAAGTCTGATTCTTATTGGCCTGACTCACAGTGGGGTTCATAAACTCCCTGCATCAGAATCATATAGGGGGTAATGAAACATGCTAAGTCCTAGACCCCCACCCCCAAAACAGCATCACAGCTGCTTGAGATATGTTCTAAAAGTCTGCATTTTAAAA